GAGACGGTAGTAAGGCACCGACTCGTCAAAGGTGACGTCCTGGGAGGACAGAACACGGCGCGAGGTGGGGTGGTAAAACTGCCACCCAGGCGCGTCAGGGGGGAAGCCAAGGAAGACGCAGGGAACAGCACGGGGGAACAGCTTGTCCGCAGACAAGTCGCGGACAAACGCCCGAGATCCCCAGACCCGAAACGCAGACGCATCGCCAACCTTCCCCGTCCACCGCAAGGTGGGGGAGGTCTCTGGCAAGGAGACCCGGGGCTGAAGGTTGAGCTGATGCGCTGCGTATGGAACCGCAAACGGCCACAGAAAATGGGGGGCAGCCGCATGGATCATGGACGTACGAGCGACGTCCATGACCATGCCAATACGGCGCTCAGCAATCCCATTTTGCTGTGGAGAGGCCGGAAGCGTGAAGGTCTGGCGGATGCCCTGTGCTCGACAGTAGGCTCCCAGACGGGCAGAGGAAAACTCCCCGCCTCTGTCAGAGTGCAGACGCAGAACAGGAAAGTCCGAGCCGAAACTCTCTCTGAGCTGGAGACGAGCTGCGCGGATCCAGTCGATCAACACCGCAGTGACGTCACCCTTGCTGCGCAAGGGGAAGACTGTGGTGTAACGCGAGTAGTCGTCAACCACCAACAGGAAGTAACGCTCGTGCCACTGGCCACGGACGCGGGCGGGGCCCCACACGTCCATATGAAGAGTCTGCAGCGGAGCCTCTGTCGGAGGAAACTCGGAGGAGTGAGGGGCGGCGCGCTGTCGCCCCTCGACGCAGGGGACGCAGGTAGGGGCAGGCCCCGGAGGTAGGGGAGGGAGAGACCGGGGGAGACCAGAGACAAGGACACGGGAGGCCATGCCTCGGAGACGAGGCAGGGAGGGGTGACCAAGGCGGTGGTGCCAAAGGAGAGTCTGGTGGGACAGGAGACGACACGAGCAGGGAGCAGACTCAGGACCAGACCTGGACGCTGCAGCAAGCACCTGACTCGACGCAGCTACCTGACCAGACTCAGCAGCCGGAGGAGACTCAGTAGTAAGTGTGTACAGGCTCGACCCCGGCCGACGGGTGAACGTGGCCAAGTGTCGGCCTGTCCGAGCACAGGTGCAGTGGGTCACCCGCTGACTCGCAGGAGTGAACTGGTCAACCCCCCTGTCCTGTAGATCAGCTCCACGCACCAAGTTCGTAGAGAACGAGGGGAGGTAGAGACCTAACAGGGTGCCAGAGGGGGCTGCCGGGCACGGTAAGACAGTGGAGAAGCTGGCAAGGACAGGACCGCCAGAGGGGTCCGCCAGGGAGACCGCAACCGGCCGACTAAGCGGCGTAAGCGTGGTGCGGTCTCGAAAGAAGGAGCGGGAAGCACCCGAGTCAAGGGTGAAGGTGTGTAAGGCCTGAGCCGACGTAGTACCTGAGAGAGCAGACTCACCAGCACCTGGGGCAGCAGACGCACTAGCACCTAGAGCAGCAGCCTCACCAGCACCTAGAGCAGCGGCCTCAATGCCCGGGTCAGGCGGAACACACAGGTAACAGTCACCCTCAACACTATCAGACACATCATACATGGCAGCAAGAATAGCATCATAATCAAGATCAAAGATAGCAACCCCCGCCCTAGACAGCTCTCCCCAGCGAGGGATCTCAGTGGCGTCAGGGAACTGGTGACGCCACGCGTCCGTCAGGCGGCCGAAGCAGCGCTGGGTGGAGTGCGGGCCCCCGCACTGCTCACCAGCGCGGTCGCCGGTACGGAGGACGTAGGTACAGGGACCAGTACCCCCACCGCGCTGACGCGCAGCGTACCACTCACGAAGCTGTTGAGGGGACAGGGTCTCACGACTGCGCTGCTGCTGCTGGCGCGGACCACCACCGGAGCCACTCCTCTGCGCAGAGCCGCGACCAGCTCCACCGCTGCCGCCGCTGCCTCCGCCACCTCCGCCGCCTCCGCCACCTGCGCCGCCTCCGCCACCTCCGCCGCCTCCGCTCCTTCCGCCACCGCCGCCGCCTCCTCCGCCTCCACTGCTGCCACCGACACCTCCACCCCCGCCACCACTCCCACCACCACCCCCACCCCCTCCACTGCCTCCACCACTACCTCCACCGCCCCCGCCAGCCCCTCCAGCGCCCTTGCCCCCCTTGCCCTTGCCGGTGCGGCGTCTCCCGCTAGGGGCAGACGCCGCGCCGACCGACTCGAAACCAACGAGGTCGGCCGCAGCAGCAGAGGCAACAGAGGGCAAGAGGGGGGAAGGGGAACACCCCTCAAAGACGGGGGTGCGAGGGTCACCACGAGAGGCTCCTACAGCGACTATGCTCTTCTCTGCTGCTAGGAGGCGCTCCTCGAGGAGGTCAACGGTGAGTGTGGTGGGGCAAACTGAGAGGAAGTGGTCCCTGACTAAGCGAAGGGAGTCAGGGAGCCGGGTGACTATGTAGTAGAGGGTGATGTACATGGGGGGGGGGTTCTTGGCACAGAACTCAGCAGGAAGCGCAGCGCGGTAGCGAGTGTCACTAGTGCGAAGGTGCGTAATGAGGTCAGCGACTGTGGGAAAGGAAGCAAGGTCAGGGAACAGGTACGGCAGCATGAGGCGGCTAAGCGCAGCAGTGGCAGGGGAGGAGTAGCGTGCAACTACAGCGTCGTACAAGGTCTGAGCACTCTTGTACTGGCTAAAGTGCGCACGCTCAGTGGTCGGTAAGTGGCGACGCACAGCAAGACGGGCAGCAGCATCGCGTGTGGCCCACTGTGAGCCAATAGTGCTGTCAGCAGTAGCAGGCGGGGCAGGAGAGGCACCAGAGGTGAGATCGAACAGCGAGAGTCCGTCAGCCCTATCGCACTATAGGAACAGCTAGAGGTCATCGACCCAGACCTCAAAGTCAACAGCACGACCCTCAGCATCAAAGGTAAGGACACTGGGGGTAGCCATGACTGCAGTGGCCTAGCAGGGAGGGATCTCACTAGTCCGAGTAAGTAGGGCCGGGGCGCGCCGGTAGGAACAGTAGCGGCTCAACGGCAGGGCTGCTGGGTGGCTCAGCTGCTGGGCGGCTCGGCGGCTCGGCGGCTCGGCTGCTGGGCGGCTCGGCGGCAGGGCGGCTCGGCGGTTCGGCTGCTGGGCGGCTCGGCTGCTGAGCGGCTCGGCAGCTCGGTTGCTGGGCGGCTCGGCTGCTGGGCGGCTCCGCAGCTCGGTTGCTGGGCGGCTCGGCGGCTCGGTCGCTGGGCGGCTCGGCGGCTCAGCTGCTGGGCGGCTCGGTTGCTGGGCGGCTCAGCTGCTGGGCGGCTCAGCAGTGAAGGGGCCGGTAGAGGCGGCGATGGGGCCGCTAGGGGCGGCAGCGAGGGCCGCTAAGGGCGGCGAGGTGGCCGCGAAGGGGCCGTGAAGGGCGGCGCGAGGTGCCGCGGAGGGTGGCGACGGGCCGTAAAGAGGCCGCGAGGGGCCGCGAAGGGCGGCGTAAGGGGCCGTAAGGGGCCGTAAGGGCGCCGCAAGGGGCCGTAAGGGGCCGCGCGAGGGGCCGTAAGGGCGGCGCGAGGGGCCGTAAAGAGCCGCAAGGGCGGCGCGAGGGGCCGACAGGCGGCGCGAGGGGCCGTAAGGGGCCGTAAGGGCGGCGCGAGGGGCCGTAAGGGCGGCGCGAGGGGCCGTGAGAGGGGCCGCTAAGGGCGACGCGAAGGGGCCGTGAGGGGCCGTGAGAGGGCGCGACGGTAGGGAGGGCACACGGGGCGCGACTCGGGCAGGAGCAAAGCGCGCTCCGGGCAGGAAAAAAAAAATCGTGGTGGGCCCTAGGAAGCGTTCCCACTAGGGAACCTGCTCTATACCATGTGAAGAAATGAGGAATGATTGAACTAGCACAAGGTTGGGTACAAGTAGGAAACCCTAGGAAACTGTACCCCATAGTGTCTACCCCTTAGCAGCAACTGATTGCTTGACAGAATTCCGCAAGCTCGTCCGCTGCCAGTACCGCCATCAACATCCAGTTCGTATTTGTATCGTTGTAACTGCGACGGACCAAGACGATCACCCAGCTCAATCCCATCCTCACGCAGGCTATCCAGAATTTCCCGGTCCACAGCTGAGTTCAGGTGACTCTTGACGACCTTCGCGTCGAGGATGTCGGGTCGAACGTCCGACATCCGATGCACGCGGAACCGCGGGCTAGCGCGCCACTGCGTGTCGTAGCTGACGTGGAAGTTGGTCATTTCGCCGCGAAAAACAGCCCGGCTTTGCTTCTTTTCCCACGGCACAGCATCCTCCCCGCTCCTGAAATAGCTCTCGCTCAAATCGACCGGGTCGGGGTAGAGTATGTCGATGCTGCCGGGCGCGCCGTGCGGGCTGAAAATCGGGAGGCCGGCGCGACGTGCGGCGACGGAGGAGGCTTTGCTAATGTGCGCGTCGCAGGTGCTGAGGAAGAACTCTGCGTTGAGGGAGTGAAGTTTGTACTTCGCGATCGCCTCCTTCAAGGAGGAAAAGTTAGGTGCGCAATTTCCCTGTGAGTGGGTTTTTCTACGGAAAACCATACAAAAAGTGCCAGCGAGTCCCCAAAATGTCCCAAAACACATGTGACGCAAATGTAACGGCCTAGCACATCCCCTCAGTCGCGAAACGGCCCCGGGAAAATCGAGCCGCACATTTTCCCACGCGCGGCGCACCTTGCCCTGCGTCGCACATTTGGCGCTCGCGCGTCATCGTGCAATGCGAAAGCAACACCGTCATTTTCGGGACACGCCAAATGCACACGTTAAAGCATTTTCTGCCTTAAGGTGGTTGCCAACATCTACACCAGGTGGACACTTCTCACTATGTTAGAAGGGCTGCACATCCGGTCATTAAAAAGACCATTTAATGAGCCACACCATGTGTCAACTGTATTAGCGTCAATTGCGTCCATACCAGCGCACATGGCCACATGGCCCCCACATGTCACGGCAAAATAACCCACCACCCTCACTCTGTATTTGCGTCAATTGCGTCCATACCAGCGCACATGGCCACATGGCCCCCACAAGTCACGGCAAAATAACCCACCACCCTCACTCTGTCAGCAGGAACTTGTTCAGGAGCATGACCCGCTTGTTCACGTAGGACTTGCACACGTGCACCACCCTCTGGATGCACTCCACGTCCACCACCGCATATCTTGTTCTCACACGGCCGGGAGACAGCTGCAAGCATGTCGTCATCGGGCACGTGCCCTCCTCCTCGTAGTACTTCACGTACACGTGCCGCCCCATCTCCCCGTCCGCCCCCTCTGCGCGGAAGATGCAGAGGCACCTTGCGTACCACTCCTCTTCGTCAGACCGGAACACTGCGATGTCTGAAAACCACCGCTCAGAAGGGCTGGCCTTCACAAATGTGCCCTTGGGTACAAGCTCTCCCCCCCGCGTTCGGGGGATCGCCACGGCTGTGTGCACCTGCGTACACCGCACAACGGAGACGGAGGACAGTGTATGCGGTGAGATTTCTTCACAACGCTCGCACCCTACCGTCACGCATGCTATCCCCGCGATTCATCAACCATCCCCCAGCCATCTTATGACCAACGTCATTCCCCACCTCGATGGTAGTGGTGGGGATGCCTGCCGCCACCATGCACCCGGCGAGCGCGCCCATGTCTGACCCATGTGCTTCGCGATACGCCCACAACACCGCATCCACGTCTTCGTCCACGTGCGCCCTCTTTGACGTCTTCGTCAGGACTGGCTTCATTCTTCGAACGGCCTGTGTGCACACAACCGCATGCACGCCCCATGTGAGAACCGTGAGTCCGATGGTACGCTTCATTCTATAGCACCTTGTGTGCATTTGAATACACACCCCTCCTCCTCACCTCGCGCAACGCCGTCACATACTGCCTATTTCCGCCCGCTTCCGCCGCCACCTCCCGTGCAATCTCGCGCTGCACCTCCTCCTCGACAATACGGCGCGGGATGTCATGCCAGTTGCTGCCCCGGACTGGCACCTTCACGGTGCCCTTGTGCGTGTGCTCCCACAGGTTGGTGGATGTCTCGTTCGGCATACCACGCAGTGGTATGCCGTCAATCAAGTGCACGATCTGGTGCACCTTCGGGATGTTCCAGTCCGACGTCTGGTCAGGGAATGCGGCCTTGATGGCCGCCACCATCCTGTGTACACGCAGCTGGAGTCACGCTTAGGCCGGACATCACACACGAATGGCCAACAAAAATGAAATACACAAAGGGATTTGGCACGTACTGCACAGCCATCTCGCGGACGTCGTCCAGTGACTTCTCGGTATGCTTTGTCACGCCCACCAGGGCCTTGTAGAAGCTGGCGTACGCAACAAACGCAGCCACTTCCCGTTCCCGTTTAGCCTTGGCCGGCGGCTTGCTCTTCTCCATGTTGTCTGCGATAAGCAGGGGCATCACCTGCATCATCCCCTTGTGCTCGAAAGCGGCGTAGTTCGCCCCTGTGCTGAACCATTGTCAGATATATATGACTTAGCCTGTGTAGGCTGTAGTGGGGTAGACTCTAAGGGGTACAGGTTTCTAGGGTTTCACATTTGTATCCAACTGCTTCCTAGTTCATTCATTCCTCATTTCTTCACATGGTATAGAGCAGGTTCCCTAGTGGGAACGCTTCCTAGGGCCCACCACTGGAAATCGAAATTTTTTTTTTCTGACCGGAGCGCGAGTCGCCGCCCTTCGCGGCTCCGTCGCCGCCCTTCGCGGCCCCGTCGCCGCCCGTTGCGGCCCCGTCCCCGCTCTTCTCGGCCCCTCGTGGCCCCTTCGCGGCCCCGTCGCTGCCCTACGCGGCCCCATCGCCGCCCTTTCGCGGCCCCGTCGCCGCCCTCTTGCGGCCTCGTTGCCGCCCTTAGCGGCCCCGTCGCCGCCCCTTGCGGCCCCGTCGCCACCCCTTTCAGCCCCTCCCCGGCCCCTTCACCGGCGAGCCGCCGAGCCGCCAAGCAGCTGAGCCGCCGAGCCGCCGAGCCGCCGAGCCGCTGAGCCGCCGAGCCGCCGAACCGCCGAGCCGCTGAGCCGCCGAGCCGCCGAGGCCGCCGTCGAGCCGCCACTACCGAGCCGCTGCCGCTGAGCCGCCGCCGAGCTGCCGCCGCCGCTGAGCCGCTACTACCGCTGTCGAGCCGCCGCCGAGCCGCCGCCACCGCAGTTGCAGCCCTGTTCCTACCTTAGCGCCCCGGCCCTACCCGCCCGGACTGGTGAGAGCACTCCCTGCTAGACCGCTGCTGTCATGGCTACCCCCAGTGTCCTTACCTTTGATGCTGAGGGTCGTGCTGTTGACTTCGAGGTCTGGGTCGATGACCTACAGCTCTTCCTACAGTGCGATAGGGCAGACGGACTCTCCCTGTTCGATCTCACCTCTGGTGCCTCTCCTGCCCCGCCTGCTGATGCTGACAGCACTGTTCGCTCACAGTGGGCCACTCGCGATGCTGCTGCCCGTCTTGCTGTGCGTCGCCACTTACCGACCGCTGAGCGTGCGCACTTTAGTCAGTACAAGAGTGCTAAGACCTTGTACGACGCTGTAGTTGCACGCTACTCTTCCCCTGCCACTGCTGCTCTTAGCCGCCTCATACTGCCGTACCTGTTCCCTGACCTTGCTGCCTTTCACACAGTCGCTGACCTCATTACGCACCTTCGCACTAGTGACACTCGCTACCGCGCTGCGCTTCCTGCTGAGTTCTGTGCCAAGAACCCTCCCCCCATGTACATCACCCTCTACTACATAGTCACCCGGCTCCCTGACTCCCTTCGCTTAGTCAGGGACCACTTCCTCTCAGTTTGCCCCACCACACTCACCGTTGACCTCCTCGAGGAGCGCCTCCTGGCAGCAGAGAAGAGCATAGTCGCTGTAGGAGCCTCTCGTGGTGACCCTCGTACCCCCGTCTTTGAGGGGTGTTCCCCCTCCCCCCTTTTGCCTTCTGTTGCCTCTGCTGCTGCGGCCGACCTCGTTGGCTTCGAGTCGGTCGGAGCGGCGTCTGCCCCTAGCGGGAGACGCCGCACCGGCAAGGGCAAGGGGGGCAAGGGCGCTGGAGGAGCTGGCGGGGGCGGTGGAGGTGGCGGTGGAGGCAGTGGAGGGGGTGGGGGTGGTGGTGGGATTGGTGGCGGGGGTGGAGGTGTCGGTGGCAGCAGTGGAGGCGGAGGAGGCGGTGGCGGTGGCGGTGGGAGCGGAGGAGGCGGAGGTGGCGGAGGCGGCAGCGGTGGAGCTGGTCGCGGCTCTGCGCAGAGGAGTGGCTCCGGTGGTGGTCCGCGCCAGCAGCAGCAGCGCACTCGTGAGACCCCTTCCCCCCAGCAGCTTCGTGAGTGATACGCTGGGCGTCAGCGGGGTGGGGGTACTGGTCCCTGTACCTACGTCCTCCGTACCAACGACCGCGCTGGTGAGCAGTGCGGGGGCTCGCACTCCACCCAGCGCTGCTTCGGCCGCCTGACGGACGCTTGGCGTCACCAGTTCCCTGACGCCACTGAGATCCCTCGCTGGGGAGAGCTGTCTAGGGCGGGGGTTGCTATCTTTGATCTTGACTTTGATGCTATTCTTGCTGCCATGTATGCTGTGTCTACTAGTGATGAGGGTGACTGTTACTTGTGTGTTCCGCCTGACCCGGGCATTGGGAGTGCTGCTCTAGGTGCTGGTGAGGCTGCTGCTCTAGGTGCTGGTGAGGCTACTGCTCTAGGTGCTAGTGAGTCTGCTGCCCCAGGTGCTGGTGAGTCTGCTCTCTCAGGTACCACGTCGGCTCAGGCCTCCCACACCTTCACCCTTGACTCGGGTGCTTCCCGCTCCTTCTTTCGAGACCGCACCACACTCACGCTGCTTAGTCGGCCAGTGGCGGTCTCCTTGGCAGACCCCTCCGGGAGTCCTGTCCTTGCCCACTTCTCCACTGTCTTACCGTGTCCGGCGGCCCCCTCTGGCACCCTGTCAGGTCTTTACCTCCCCTCGTTCTCTACGAACTTGGTGAGTGGTGCAGATCTACAGGATGGGGGGGTTCACCAGTTCACTCCTGCGAGTCAGCGAGTGACCCACTGCACGTGTGCTCGGACGGGCCGACACTTGGCCACGTTTACCCGTCGACGGGGGTCGAGCCTGTACACACTGACTACTGGTCCTCCTCAGTCTACTGCGTCTGGTCAGGTTTCTGCGTCGGGTCAGGCGTCTGCTGCGGCGTCCAGGTCTGGTCCTGAGTCTGCCCCCTGCTCGTGTCGTCTCCTGTCTCACCAGACTCTCCTCTGGCACCACCGCCTTGGTCACCCCTCCCTGCCTCGTCTCCGAGGCATGGCCTCCCGTGTCCTTGTCTCTGGTCTTCCCCGGTCCCTCCCTCCTCTTCCTCCGGGGCCTGCCCCTACCTGCGTTCCCTGCGTCGAGGGGCGACAGCGCGCTGCTCCTCACTCCTCCGAGTTTCCTCCGACAGAGGCTCCACTGCAGACGCTTCACATGGACGTGTGGGGCCCAGCCCGTGTCCGTGGACAGGGTCACGAGCGTTACTTCCTGCTGGTGGTTGACGACTACTCGCGTTACACCACAGTCTTCCCCTTGCGCAGCAAGGGTGAGTTCGCTGGAGTGTTGATCGACTGGATCCGCGCAGCTCGTCTCCAGCTCCGAGAGAGTTTCGGCTCGGACTTTCCTATTTTGCGTCTGCACTCCGACAGAGGCGGAGAGTTCTCCTCTGACCTTCTGCGAGCCTTCTGTCGTGCATAGGGCATCCGCCAGACGTTCACGCTTCCGGCCTCTCCACAGCAAAATGGGATTGCTGAGCGCCGCATTGGCATGGTCATGGACGTCGCTCGTACGTCCATGATCCATGCGGCTGCTCCACATTTTCTGTGGCCGTTCGCGGTCCAGTACGCGGCGCATCAGATCAACCTTCAGCCCCGGGTTTCCTTGCCGGAGACCTCCCCTGCTCTGAGGTGGACGGGGAAGGTTGGCGATGCGTCTGCGTTCCGTGTCTGGGGATCTCGGGCGTTTGTCCGCGACTTGTCTGCGGACAAGCTGTCCCCCCGTGCTGTTCCCTGCGTCTTCCTTGGCTTCCCCCCTGACGCGCCTGGTTCGCAGTTTTACCACCCACCTCGCGCCGTGTTCTGTCCTCCCAGGACGTCACGTTTGACGAGTCGGTTCCTTACTACCGTCTCTTCCCCTACCGCACTGCGCCCCTCCCCCCGCCGCCACTCTTCCTCGCGCCAGGTCCCCCCCCGGTAGACCCCCTTCCCCCTCAGGGTCCTGCCCCCTCAGGTGTGTCCCAGGTAGACGCAGTCGAGCCTGTCGAGGTTGCGGTTGACTCTGGTGCTGCTAGGGGTGCTGAGCCTGCGGGTGCGGGGTCTGGGGGTGCTGAGCCTGGGGGTGCTGACTCTGGGGGTGCTGAGACTGGGGGTGCTGAGACTGGGGGTGCGGAGCCTGGGGGTGCTGACTCTGGGGGTGCTGAGACTGGGGGTGCGGAGCCTGGGGGTACTGAGCCTAGGGGTACGGAGCCTGGGGGTGCTGCGCCTGCTCGTGCGGCGTCTACCGGGACTGGGCCTGGAGGTCTTTCGGGTGCTTCGTCCCGGCGGGAGCTCCTCTCTCCACAGGAGCTGCGCGAGTGGTTTGCCCGGCGCTGGAGCCGTGCTGCTGGAGCTGGAGGCGCTGCTGGTGCTGGAGGTCCTACTGCTGCTGAGGGTACTGGAGCTGCTGGGCCAGCGGGAGCTGCTGGGCCAGCGGGAGCTGCTGGTGCTGCTGGAGCTGGAGCTGCTGCGTCTTCTGGTGGTCCGGTTGGAGCTGGAGCTGCTGGGGCTGTTGGCACTGGAGGTGCTGCTGGCGCTGGTGCTACTGAGGGTGCTGGTGGTGCTGGGGTTGGCGCTGCTGGAGCTGAGGGTGCTACTGGTGCTGGTGCTGCCGTTTGGGGTGCTGGTGCTGTTCCTGCTGGTTCTGGTGGCGCTGCGCGGCCGCGGCCGTACTTCGTTCCGCTCCTTCAGCAGGTTCTTGGTCTTCCGTCCTCTCCTAGTCCTGCTCCTCCCTTAGAGTGTCCGCCGCCTGCCCAGTCTGAGTCACAGTTACAGCCAGCCTCCCCACTGCCTGCTCCCTCTCCTTACACTGGTCCTACTGGAGGTCTTGCTGAGCGTCGTGAGCCTGCGTCTCGTCCTGCGTCGCCTGTTCGTGCTGCTCGCACGAGTGGTCGTGGTTCGCGTCAGCGTCCTCCGCCTGTCCCCGGCACGCACCGGATGTCTCTGCGTCCTTCCACTGCTCCGTTACATGCCCCTTTGCCTACTCCTCCCGAGTCCTCTCTTCCTGCTCTTGCTGACCCGGAGTCGGACTCCCTTCGTGCTGCCAGTCCTAGTGTCACGCGTCTTCTTGCTACTGTCGTCACTGACCCTTCCTTTGAGTCCACTGCTGCGTCTGCCTTAGTTGCTGAGCTTGTCGACTTTGCTGCTCGCTGTCATCTAGACTACGCCGCTAG